ATTCCTAATAAATAACCTTTTATTGTACTTATGTTTATAAGAAATTAGCTACAAAAAAAAAGGCATATAACAAATAAAACTTATTTATTATATTGCTTATGTATTACAAACATACCTACTAAAAGAAATGGCGACTGTTTTGATAGTGAAAAGCCCTGACTATCAAATGATTCTTGAGATTCCAATGACTGTCTAATAGCCTCTTCTGGAATATCTATTGATTTATTGTTTGCCCATGCAGGAGGATTCATTATTCAGCTGTACATATTATTTAAATTTGATAAAAATGCATAATTAATGCAGTTGTTATATATAGATACATATAAAAAATTACACACATGCACATGTGTAAAATACCTTACATAACAAGGACATATATTATTAGAAATAATATCATTTTTAGGCATTTATACTTTTTTTTTAATATTTTGTTTTTCCTTGTATAATTAACGATTTATAATAAAAAGTATAAAAGTAAAAAGAAAATTTGTACGTATAAATGGATAAAACTATAGCACATTGTTGGAATCCGGGGAGGAAAGTAGATATCGATTATACTTTAGCAATATAACGTTTATTTTGGCGATGATACTTCCACACGCGGATTCCGTATGACAATGCGCGAACTTTACGAAGAGAAGAGAACGTTGACCGTATTAAACCGACCGATTTAACTGTCCTAGCTTGCTTTCTATAATGATGTTCTAAGGGATTTTTCAAGTATACTTATAAGGAAGGGATTTGGAGGAGAAGGTGAACTTGGTTCTGGTGACGAATTGCTGGACAGGATTTTGAAGGGACAGTCAGCGATCGATGATTAACTTGGTTTTCGGCGTTATGGGATTAATGTTAAGAGTGACTTGGTGACTCAATATCAATAGGCAGTTGGTTATCCAACAACATTTCAAACAACATTACATACTATGTAATATAAAATTATATACTAATATGTTGCAAATAAATATATATTTTTGCTTAAATATTTAGAAGTATCTTAATAATTTTAATAAAAATGATTTTCCGAAATACTAATTATATACGTCTAGAATATGTAAATGTATATTTAACACACATTATTCTATTTATACAGTTTAAGTG